CTTCCGCGTTTACTTTTTGTCTGGTAATCGAGACAATAATAGTATATTACAATCCGAGACTGGAAATGCTTCATTGCTGGTCAAGAGGCTATACAGGGTGTCCCACGGTGGATGGCGTATTAGACGTATATGGAGAACTAAAAAGTGGATCATTTTGAAAATTTGGCAACCGGGATAAACGACCATGATCTACACTTTAAAAATATTTTTGTTTATACGGTGTTGCCGCTTCTACTCTAAACCAGTGGCAACATCGCTATTTTAAATGGAACACCCTGTATGTAATTGCATATTTGGATTCTTCGTAAAATTCTGAGCAGATTTCATATGATATACCCTTTACCTAAGTTCAACTGTTTTGGAAATATTGACAGTTGAAAATTGATTTTTTGCAACTTTGACAGGCTGTAGAGCCTGAAGGGTTAATTTTAGAGAAAGGCCGATTTTACATTCCTGTCTTAGATTTTTATAAACTATCATTTGACACCAACTTTGAATTTAATCAATGATTAAAAATTCCAATTAAATTTAATCTCCGGTTGAATTTAAAGTTGGTGTCAAATGATAGTTTATAAAAATCTAAGATAGGAATGTTGAATCGGTTTTTCTCTAAAATTAACCGTTCAGGTTTTACAGCCTGTCAAAGTTGCAAAAAGTCAATTTTCAACTGTCAATTCCAAAACAGTTGAACTTAGGTATAGGGTATATCACATGAAATCTGCTCAGAATTTTACTTAGAATCCAAATATGCAATCACATACACGATGGTCCATTTAAAATAGCGGTGTTGCCACTGGTTTAGAGTAGAAGCGGCAACACCGCATAAACAAAAATATTTTTAAAGTGTAGATTATGGTCGTTTATCCCGGTTGCCAAATTTTCAAAATGATCCGCTTTTTAGTTCTCTATAAACGTCTAATAAGCCATCCACCGTGGGACACCCTGTATAGTTTATCGAGACGCGTAGCGTCGAGATAAACTGAACCTCCAGACAGCAATGAAATTTCCCGTCGAGGTTTGTATACTATTTTATTTTTAACCATAATTTCTTTAAAAAAAAAATCGTGAGAACCAAATAAGGTCAGGAAATGAGGACAGGAAATGAGGACGGGAAGTACTTCCCTGCTCCACTTTTCGTCCGTGGACGGGAAATCAGGATGGAAAAAAATTTCCCGTCCTCATTTCCCGTCCTGGGACAGGTAATGGAGCAGGAAAATTAAAAGACAGAAATGTGACATTTTCAAATTTTTGAAAAGTCAGTAATGACAACATTTCATTTATATGGTTAAAAGTAAAAGGTTTTGTTGTGAAAATAACGGTGGAAAATAGCCAGACGGTATTCACAGTTCGAAATCGAGTTTTCCGGCGAAACATTCTGTGGACATTTTGAACAGGGCGCAGGTCTTAAAACCATTGATATTCTCATCAGCTAACTAGCCACATTCATCCCTCAAAATGCCAGACAAAAAAAAATGACTCCACTAAACAGGCCCTATCTCACCCGGCCGCGTGGAGAATTCTCGAGACGCAGCGCGAAGCTTCGTACGTGCTGCGGAGAGAATCTTCGAGAAGCAGGCGCTTCGGATATAAAAGGAAAAATGTCGGGCGGCGAGGGCAGATTTCGCCATTGCCGGGTTGAAGAATAGAATACTTTTATAAATAAATACAAGATACAAGGCGTTACATAAACTAGTTAGTGTGTTTAGTTAAATTAATCAGAGTGAATTTTAGTTAAGTGTTAATAAAAGTATAGTTTTAATTAATTGGCAGCTTTTATCACATCGTAGTCGAACAAGTTCACGCTAAAAACGTTACAGTACTTATTGGAAAATCTGCTGAATCTACCTATTTCGGGCATCTCGGTATCTCCACACTGATAAATGGATATCAGGAAATACTTCAAACAGGTAAGTTACAGTTAGTAAGTTACATTCGACGTCATTTGTGTAATATCTGTAAATTCCAATTAAAAAAAACAAAATGTTTTTTTCCATGTTACATGTTAAACAAAACACTAACATGGATATCACTCACACTGTATAAAATACTAATAGCGGCATTACTGTGTTTTGCAGCTACTAAAACTCTCAAGAGGAAAAAAGAACATGACAGTAGCAGCGGGAGCGATGATAACAATGATCAAATTTCATCGCCAAGCCCATCTAAAACTGAATCTGAATCTGAGCAACCGCTAAATTCTTTAAGATCTAAGAAAGTCACTGCTCCTAATTTAGAATCTTTACCGTCAACATATGGCTCTGTAGTCAATCCCGAAATTGAAGAGAATGATGGTTGCCACGAAAATGACTTGGGTCGTTATGTAGGACAAACATTTCACCTGACGATGGATAGAAAAAAAGAGTTGTTAAAAAATCCGTGGGTTCCACCCAAGAATTACGATTTTGCAGCCGATGCCAGTCATTTGCGAAGAAAATTTAATTATGCTTGGTTAGATCAATACACACCATGGTTAGTGTATTCCAAGCGACTAAAGGGTGCTCTGTGTAAGCACTGTGTTTTATTTCCTCCTTCTACTGGCACAGTAAGGGGAGTGTTAGGTTCATTTATGATCAGACCATTTACGAAGTTTAGGAATATGCATGAAGATTGTCGTAAACATGCCACCAATAACTTTCACAAATCTGCATCTGCTGCTGCAAAGGCCTTTCTCGAAAATATACCTGTGGACATTCAAGTTCAAAGTTTCCACCAAAAAACAATCGAAGAGAACAAGCAAATATTGGCCTCTATTATTTCCTGTGTAGTATTCTGTGGCACACACGATATGCCTCTACGAGGAAAAGAAGCAGATGAGGGAGTTTTTTTCGATCTAATGAATTTGCGAGTTGAGTCGGGCGACATCAAATTAAAGAATCACCTGGAAAAGTGTCGTAGAAATGCTGTTTATACGTCACCAAAAATACAAAACCAACTCATATATTTATGTGGCGAAGTTATCAGGGAGAGTGTGATAAATGATGCAAAGAAAGCCATGTTCTACACAGTTTTAGCCGACGAGACAGCCGACGTTTCAGGAAAGGAGCAGCTATCCATTGGCTTGCGTTTCTATGATGAAAGTAAAAAAAAAGTCCGAGAAGAATTTGTGGGTTTTGTGGAGCTGACAGCACAGGATGCCCCAGCAATTGCCAATGCAATAGACAATTTTTTAGTTAGCTATAATTTTTCACCGCATAGTTGTGTAGGACTTGGTTTTGATGGCTGCGCTACGATGGCGGGCAAAGAGGGTGGCGTACAAGCGATTTTAAGGAAAAAGTACACACGAGCATTATTTTTTCATTGCTCAAACCATAAAAAAAATCTTGTTGTCAATGATGCAAATAATGTTCCGGAAATTAGAAACGCTATTGGCACCGTAAAGGATGTTATAACCTTTTTCAGGGAATCCACCACTCGCAGAAGTTCCGCTCCTAATCTATCACGACTGTGTGAGACTAGATGGTCTGAAAAATACAAAAGTATTCGCTTATTTGCACAAAATTTCCTCGAAATTGTGAAATCACTTGAAAAACTATCTATCGAAGGAAACTACGCCACGAGAAAATCTGCGTACCAGTTGCATGCCGCCGTTACCAAACCCTCACTAATTGTTGCCCTAACTATAATTGCAAAATATTCAGCTTTACTGGAGCCGGTTGTTAATGCCTTGCAAGCAAAAACTATGGATTTAATTAAGTTGCAAGAACATCTGAACGTAATCCTTAACGTTCTGAAGAAAAACCGTGAAGATGCCGACCTAGTTATTGATGAAGTACTTAAAAAAGCACAAGACTTTGCATTGGAATTGGAAATAGAAATTTCTATCCCTCGAATTACCAAGAGGCAAATACATAGAAACAATCCTCCATCAGACTGTGATAGTGACTACTGGAAGCGTTCGTTAATTATACCGTATCTGGATTCAATTATAGCCTCTTTAAATATTCGCTTTTCTCAAGAACATACTCCAGCGTTTGCCTTAACAAAAATACATCCATTATATATGCTCGACATGGAAACCAATCAAGTAGAACAAAATGCACAATATTTTACCCAGTTTTATAAATTGGACGATATTACTGCGGAAATGGACCTATGGTATAATTTGTGGAAGGAAAAAAAGTCAACTGAGGACCAGCTAAAAGACGTCGAAATAACTGACCTTCTCGACGAGACCGATGTTTTTTATCCCATCCTAAAACAGGCACTTTTGATTTTAATCACAATTCCATGCACCACGGCCACTGTAGAACGATCCTTCAGTACTCTTCGAAGAGTGAAGACTTGGTTGAGAAGTACCATGGGAGAGGAAAGGTTAACAGGATTATGTCTCATGAGTGTGCATCGTGATTTAATTAAATCAAATCGAGAGCAATTTGAAAATCAAGTTTTAAATAAATTTGCGACAAATCCAAGAAAATTGTTATTGAAGTAAAAATTAAGCGAGTTATGTCAAAATTTAGTAATTAAAAAGAGAAATGCAAAATCCATTGTTTTTTTTTTTTGGTCAGCCCCCCCCCCCTATTTCAGATCCTGGGTACGCCCTTGAGTGGGACCCGAAAAGGTCGAAAGCTAGATCAACTTGGTTGACAAGAATAAAGCAGATATAGATTATCTTCTAGTCTAGTAATTAATTCAGTTCGTTGATTGGAAAGCATCGCTATGGATACAGAATAATCAGAAAGTAAAGGGAAGATTCTAGAAGTTTTAGACATCCATATTTAACCAGTTTTCAGAAAGTGGGTAAGCTAAGTTTGGAAGTGATTGTGAGGTAATTTGGAACAGTTGGGGAGTTGATAAAATTATTATTGGAGAAGGGTTATTGTTAATTCGAGCCGAACTCAGGGCAAATCGTAACCATAATATTTAATATTTCATCGGATTAGAATTTCCAAGAAAAGCAAAAGATTATTGTCATTTTTGAAAAAGTGAATAAACTAAATAAGCATACCTACCATTTTTGTAAACATTTTGCAATTGACTTCTAAGATGTGTGTAGATATCGGTTATCAAAATATTTGTTTAATTAAATCCTGGCTTCCCATAATATCTGCGTACTTTTCAGGTATAAAATGGTTTTTGCAATAGAAAAATTTTCATTCAGTTTTGCATTTATCCGTAAAAAGAATTTTGTGAAAATGAAAACATTTTTAGTATTAACAGTAACTGCATTTCTATTCTATGCAGGTAGGTATTAAAACTTGTAACAATAATTATTTTTTTTTGACAACTATTTGGCCAGTATTTGTAACATAGGTATGGTTCAATTCAGTAATATACAGGGTGTTCCACAGTGGATGGCGTATTAGATGTTTATGGAGAACTAAAAAGCGGATCATTTTGAAAATTGGCAACCGGGATAAACGACCGTAATCTACACTTTAAAAATATTTTTGTTTATGCGGAGTTGCCGCTTCTACTCTTAACCAGTGGCAACATCGCTATTTTAAATGGAACACCCTGTATGTGATTGCATATTTGGATTCTACGTAAAATTCTGAACAGATTTCATGTGATATACCCTATACCTAAGTTCAACTGTTTTGGAAATATTGACAGTTGAAAATCGACTTTTTGCAACTTTGACAGGCTGTAAAACCTAAACGGTTAATTTTAAAGGAGAACCGATTTTACATTCCTATCTCAGATTTTCATAAACTATCATTTGACACCAACTTTGAATCTAACCGGAGATTAAATTTAATTGGAATTTTTAATCATGGATTAAATTTAAAGTTGGTGTCAACTGATAGTTTATAAAAATCTAAGATAGAAATGTAAAATCGGTTCTCCTCTAAAGATAACCATTTAGGTTTTACAGCCTGTCAAAGTTGCAAAAAGTCAATTTTCAACTGTCAATATTTCCAAAACAGTTGAACTTAGGTATAGGGTATATCACATGAAATCTGTTCAGAATTTTACGGAGAATCCAAATATACAATCACATACAGGGTGTTCTGTTTAAAATAGCGATGTTGCCACTGGTTAAGAGTAGAAGTGGCAACACCGCATAAACAAAAATATTTTTAAAGTGTAGATTACGGTCGTTTATCCCGGTTGCCAAATTTTCAAAATGATCCGCTTTTTAGTTCTCCATAAACGTCTAATACGCCATCCACCGTGGGATACCCTGTATTTAACAAGTTCAGAGCTTATATTTTTTCCCTCAAATGTTTTGGTTTTCGTTGATTATGATTATATCGGACAAGAAACAGAAACTGCTGAGTGCTGCCTTGTTAATCTTAACTATCCTTGAAATCTGATTATTTAGCAGATGCGTTCGCTGTTGAAATAAACGACTAGCAGAATTCCCAGCTATAACCAATAAATGGCATGTAATATTTCAATCTCTTTTGCTAAATTTTCTTCTGGATGGAACATCACCTAAGCTAATGTGTGGTATGAATAAAAACGAAGTACCCACTACTACTACAAGTATTAGTATGATCTACGTAGTATTTACTTCAAAAAGAAGAATTAACTAATTTTTGGTAGTTTCGAAATGTGGTATCTACTTCGTTTTAAAGTTAATACTACGAAGAATCTACTAATACTTGTAGTAGTAGCAGATACTTCGTTTTTATTTATACCGCACCCAATGAAGTATTTTTCGCTTTTTCAAATATATTTTAACAATATTATCTTGAATTCATTCAACAAATCGTCGGCATCATATGAAAATTGCCTCACGCACTCACTACGTTCGGCTCGCAAACCTACTGCTTCAGCACAAAAAAGTAAAGCTTCTACTCCTAATACAACAACATACTATTATTTAAAACAATATTATTTTATTATTTCAGCATTCGCCAGAGATCCTAGAACAACACCACAAGATCCGTGCGCAAAAATAAGATGTCCCAAAAGAAACGAAATTTGTACCGAAGGCAATTCTTGCTTGGAACAGTGCGGAAATTCAACTGACAGAGTTTGTCCGCTTTCCATTACCACTGGATGTTTTTGTAAACAAGGTTATTGCAGAAGTAGCTGTGGCAAATGTCAACTTTTGAAGGGTTAATTAGTTGAGCTTAAGATTAAGATAAGATTTTGTAGTTATTGTATTATTCATAGTTCTTAAGTGTCTTCGCTGAGATGGTGGTGAAGTAGGTATATTGTGTATTTAGGTGGAAAAGTATAACACACTCTCCGACGTTGTAAGTTGCTAAGTACACATAGTATTTTTTTCAGCGATAGCCTAATATGGAAAAAAATTGGAATTGAAAAAAAAAAAAAAAAAATGTTATTTGATATTTGCATATTATTAGTTGAGTTAATGTTTAATATTTGATTTTAAATAAAGTAAAGTTTGTTTCGCCAGGGTTTTTACTTGCCACCAGCATTTGCCTTCCTTGTTTAACAAATAAAAATTGACTGAAACAAATCAATGACGTCAAAAACGTTCGTCGGTTCTTAAATCATTTTAATTTGTCAAAAAAATTGAATGTGTCATATGAATTAATCTACGACAACCCTTTTTTTTTCAAGTTTCAAGGTCAAGTATGAACCCTGGTGAAACGGACCTTAGTACCTACAAAAATAATTGAAATGTATGTTGCGTTGTGGCTTTTGTTCGACAGTACAGGAATAACTTTCCCGGCCTAGGTTGAAGAAGTGATTCCTGAACTGTTATTCATTGATTCCAAACTAACGATAGAAAATACCAGAATAGAGTATTGTGTTGTAAAGTAAATACTTTTTGTACGATCGTGCACAAAGTTACTAATTCCTGCATTATCCACTGTACAAAAAGTACGAATAACATAACCTAAAATGTGGACTATGAAAAGGCCTATAGTGTATCCTCTCCTCTCCTGTTATTTGAACAGATATATATGGGTATGATGTATCTTCCGCTGTTATTTCAACAGCTATATTATAGGTCAGCATTTATAAATATTTCTATTTTGACGTATAGAATAAACAGTGACAGATAACTTAACGTCGGTGTTAACATAACAAAAAATAATTCATCTAGGCCCAGAGAAAGTTGCAGTTAGATGCAGAAAAAGTACGATACGATTTGTTGGTACTGGTTATCGTTAATGGGGCATGAATCAGATTCAAACAAAAAAACTACATCAACTGATGTAACATTTGAAGAATAAGTGGACCGACATGCAAAGTTGTTCTGTAAGGGCGTTCTTCATTCCAAAGCCAGGACCATAATACCCATGGAATTAGGCTCTCCAGACCACGTGATTTTTCAATATGGCGACCGTGGAAAATTTGACGTTTGTTTGTTTATCTTGAGTTTATTTGGAATATTTTCAAGCTAATTACAGTTTACTTTGTTATAATATACTTTTTGAGATGCAGAGTGAATATTTAAAGACTTAAATGCAGGAAAATCGGGGTCTGGGCGAACGGTTAGTTTAAAAAAATGTCCAGATGACATTTTGATCCACAGTTCACATTAATGAGCAAATGAAGGCCTACAAGAGCTTAGATTCTTACGAATATTTCGAAAATGGCTTTATTTCAGATACAGGAACAGTGGTAGTGAAAAATTTTCACGTTTTAATTGGAAAATTTTAAAACAAAGGGCAATGAAAAAAGCCTGACATTATCCTTGTTACCTTGTTGAAACTACTTCCACAATCAACTTCAAGACCCGTTTGTGGCATTTTTAATTGGAAGAAACACTAATGAAGTCAATAAAATAAAAAAATTGACAGAGTTCATCCACAAAACAAGCACAAAATGCACTTTAAAAAGCTTTAAATTACATACTCTCATATACGGGATAATGAACTTCTGCCACAACGCACTTTTTGACAGGTCGTTGGAAGGCCTAATGTAGGGTACCTGGAATGTACCGGGTGTCAAGATATAAAGTACCCACCCCCTGTAACTTTTTTATGAACGATCAAAAATAAAAAAGTTACAGGGTAAGTTACTTCATAACTTGACACCCCGTACATGATGCACTTGTGCATCAAATGCCTTCAAGTACTATCCGATGTATGTATAGTCTCCGCATGTGCCAATATGACAGAGATCAGTGAATCAACCACCCACAGACTTCTTCGAAAAAAAAGTGATAGCTGTATGAAGTTGCTTAAAAAATCGACCGGAAGAAAACCGTTAGAAGTTGATGAACTAGCCAGCTTCAAAAAGTTTAATACGAAGGAAAGTACATTCGTTTTATTTGAATTAGGAGATCTCAACAATTGATAAAATATTTTTGTCATACGATCCCAAAAACAACTATTTTACGGACTCATTTAAGTCCGTAAAATGCTTCTTTTTAGGATTTTTTTTTTCTTTCTGGATGCACCTTTATGATTTCCAAAATTAAGGAAATTTTGCAAATTTTAGCGTTCTGAAGAATTCTAAAAAGCTTATGACAAAAAATAGTGTTTGTCACACGTACCTAACGAAGTTTTTCAGGACTCATCTGCTATTCCGAAACAGCAATGATTCGTCCTGAAAAACTTCATTTTAGGTACTTGTGACAAAAATAACTATTCTCGATTTTGATGTGAGAATGTCATTATTCCCGCACGCAAAATCATTGAAGAATGAAGCTCATTCTTCAACGATTTTTAGTGACATTCAGTTTTCAAAGTATACCTGTTGGTACTTTCAGAATTGTCAAACCTTTTAAAATAATAAAATCCATCTGTCAGATCGCTGGTAAGTACATGTCACCAACTGACATATTTTGCAAAAAAGAAATCCCTAACCAACAGCAACCACGAAAAATTTTGAAAAAATGAAAAATAGAATCCAAAATCGAGAAAATAGTATAAAACTCACGTTGCAGAAGGCTATTCTCGCACTCACTCGTTCGTCCACTCGCTCCTTCGTCGCTCGTGTCCACATTTCGAATTCGTGCGAGAATATGTGGCCTTCTGCAACTTGTATTTTAATATACTATATCAGTAATAAGGGCGGACGAAAATATACCAGAAATGGGACGAAAAATATTGCGGAAAATATTAAACGAGTTGCTGGGAGAAGCAGAGCAACAAAGTGATTTTGATTGACAAAGAAGAAATAATCTGTTGGACAAGACAATATCGACAATTCTCGCCAGGCATTTGTGAATTTTCATTCGATTGGTTTAAAAATGCTTCCGGTAAGGGCCGCAGGTTAATAATAACTCACATTGGTAGTGATAGTAGCGGTTTTTCAAATGAAGGTTTGCTTGAATTCGAATCTAAATCAACCAGTGATAAGATGATCATGAAGTGAAATGATGGCTGATGTTTTTGAAGACTACTTATCTGGAACGATAACATCAATTCCTAAAGGTTCCGTCATTGTCATGGACAACGCCAGCTGTCATTCCAGACTAGCAGAAAACTATCATCATGTTCCTGGCGTTAAGAAGACATTCTAAATAGGCTAAATGAAAAAAGAATACCCTATGAAAATAATATATAAATAAAAGAGGCTCTGAAAATAGCTGTAGAAAAAAAATCACAGTTGCATAGACATGTTGCTGATGAAATGGCTATAAGGAACGGGATATAATAATAATTATTCGCTTGCTATCCTACCATTGCGAATTAAATTCGATTGAACTATATGGGCTTAGATGGAAGGATTTAAAGCAAGAAATAACACCATCTTTGGAAACAAGATGTTCTAGAACTGTTAAGAACGTCGTTGAATCACGTAACTGCAGAAAACTAGAGAAATGCTGTAAGGTAAGCTATGTAATAAAACATGTGGAACCTTGACTACCCCATGAAAAAGACTGTAGAACTCTGACAACATCCGATTCAGATGAGGGTGATGCAGTCACTTTTCTCAGTTAAATTTATTTTTTGTTTTCCTCGATTAGGATGTGAACCAAGAACCCACGCATTTCCAGTACAATGCTCCAACCAACTGAGCTACCGAGACCTCTCTCATTTCTGTCGGTCAAGTCTTTAAGGCCACGTTAATGGCCGCCATGTTTAAACTGTGATTGGCAATTTCAAGTAGATGGCGCCACGGCAAAAAAGCTACATTGGGAGCACATAATTGTATATTTGTCTTTCTCTGTCACTAAGTGTTTCACCGACAAACAGATTTTGTTTTAGACAAATAATAAAATATTGAACCCTATGTGTAGAGTGACGCAGTCGTCATTTTCAAAAACTAAATTTAAACATGGCGACCATTAACGCGGCCTTAATCAATTTCAAATTGTTAGTTGTGAAGATTACCTTCGGCGGTTACCGTTGGTATGGGAGGGAATTAGAAGTTGGTATAGGGCAGATTCGCAATTAATAGCTCTTGGGCCTGGACTAAGAGGGTCCTGTGTTCAAATCCTAGTCGAGGCGAGAACATTTCTCATCAATTTTAATTAACGTCTGAATGCCATTAAAATTGACACAAGGTCTGTTTGTTATCCTCCACTAGTGCACAATAATTTACACTTTTCTGCACTGAGGCGTTTGTTATGCGGTTAGTGCAAATAGTGTAAGGCGTTTGTTATCTCAGTGTAGGGTGCCCAATCATGCACTACCTACACCTGCTCAAGAGGAGGTGTAACAAGTGCAGAATGGGGAGGGGGCAATGTTGTTGTTTTGTTTTGTTTGTTGCTCCTAACCTGAAACCCTAAAATAAGATTTATTATATGGCGATTTCGACTGGATTGCACTTTCGCACCCAGTGCGAACTTTTTTTAAAAATTGACAGATAAACAATAATACTTTACACACAGAACACATATCCTCACGGATAGAAAAAAAAGCTTAATGGAGGGCGGGGCCTAAAAAAAAAGCTTCGGATCGCATCCGCTTGGGGACGCTGTAGTGAAACAGAACTACAGGTGTGGAAGGAACGCACCAGAAAATATGTCACAGTTTACTTTGGCAGTTTACCTGTTACCTATGTTTAAAAAAATATGTCAAAATAGTTCTGAATGAAAATTCGTTTTGGTGTTGGTGTGCATTTTAAATTCAGATAAATGTTTCCTAAATTCAAAAAAAAAGAATTTTGGCCGTTTTTGCTATACTCGGAAAAAAAATCCGTCAATATTCAATAATGAGGAAAAAGGTTTGTTTGGACTTCAGTTCAAAATCAGTTCTAAATTGGACTGCGCTTGCGCATTTGATCATATCAAACCCATATAAAGAAATGCGAAAGCGTAGTTCAATTCTGAACTGAAATCCGAACAAATCTATTGAAAATATTGACATTGGAAGAACTATTTTGAAAGCTGATTTGATTACAGAAATCTTTATTATAAATAGTTCGGATCGCATCCACCGCGCCGTGACGGCGCATTGTTCCCCAAAATTTTATTAGGCAGTTTGCCTTCTATCCGTGAGGATATGTATTCTGTGACTTTACACGTCAATTGCCAAAAAAAGTTCGCACTGGGTGCGAAAGTGCAATCCAGTCGAAATCGCCATTAGAAATTAAATCTTAAATGTTAGATGAAATATATTGATATGCTCTAAAAAATGAGTAGTGAAAGTACAAATACAAAAGTGTAATTGCATGAATTTATTTTGTCGTCAGAGCTGGAAGATAGGGAATCTGAGGAATCTTCTTCATCTTCCGACTTCCTCTATAATTTCCGACAATAAAACCTTGTAAATATGTTATCTTCTTCGTTAATATTGGACATTTTTTTCTGGGTTAGTTTCCATTTTCCACTTTAATTTACCCTAATAATAATATTTTCGAGGTTAGATATCCGCTTCTATCGCTTCACGAACTGCACTGTCTGCACTAACGCGTTTGGTAGTTTTCCTTTACCCTGGTGGCCATGAGCTACACCAGCAGCCTGCACTGACCTACCCTACACGGATATAACAAACACACCTTTTATTTGTTCTTTATTTCATGTACAGGGTGAGTCACCAGTCACTATATTTT